CCAGGTAACGGACTCCTTCATGTAACAATTTCATTCCTTTCTTCGTTGCAACATCAACAGCAAGGAGATGAGTCACATACTTCACATCATCTGAAGCTGAATTGCCAAATAAGAAAATATATATCAAGTGAGTTATGCATGAGAAGATCACACATTTGAGCTATGGCCAAGAAGTAGTTGACTATATTAATGCACGGTTACTTACTTTCGGGAGAATGCAAGTAGATAACATCATTCAGCATAGCTTCCCCCCTCCTGGTAGACGAAGCCAGCGACACATACCTTGGTTTGTTCTTTCCTCCACCAATAATCTACAAGAAGGCAGACTCTTCTTGGAATTAATAATGAACAAACACGTAAACAAATTACCAGAATATGCTGCCTGTGAAACTCCCTACCTGTGGATTATACCGGCTAAGACCATTTTCCGAAAGCAACTTGTCCAAAACATTAGTACGGGACTCTATTTGGCCGTAATAAACTTGTTCTTGTATCTTAGGAAGCTCATCATTCATGGCATTTAAAAGAGTTTCTTCCTGGAGAGACAAGGAGCAGCAATATCAACCAATTTTCAATAGACTTAAGAAAATCATGGCGGTAGAAAATTAAAAGTTCTTAGTATGCAGACATGAAAGTTGATGTAGGTTTTTATTAAAAAAAAAAAGGTTGATGCAGTTTAAAGTAGAAAATGGGTTTGCATGTACAATTATTATGACGAAGTAGAGACGTGCTTGAAATAAGCTACCAAAACATGAGAACCTCAACATATTAAAAATATGCACAAAGATACCTCAATAGAATCAAAAACGAGGCCATTCATCAAAAAGGAACACTTCAATTTCGCCAGACCCAGCTTAAATACAAACACGGAGCTTGCTTCGGATGCCTCCTTCAAAGTGTGCTCTTGTTGCAGTTTCAGCAATATCTCCTGAGGAGGTGATTTAACCTTTGGTCTGGAATAGAAAATACCATATTTTAGGAGTGCTAGGGAATACAATCCAAATTTTCTGTGAGGATAGATTATAAAAATAGATCTTCGTTTGTATGATAATGATTCCAAAAATCCATGTTACTTACAAAATTGTCTCAACAAATGCTCCATCGACATGCTGCTGTTCAATATCGTCTTCGGAAGAATCAGCAGATTCAGTCCTTAATGTATTTACCTGTTAACCAACCTGACGCTGTTCAGCACGTATTTTGGGATACTTAAATCACAACAAAAATTGACAGATAACCAACGACAATCAAGACGCTTCTAGCTATGAGTTAAGAGTTAATGTCTATTACATTTCCCAAAAACTGAAAAGCTGTTTGAATCCCGTGGTGCTCCTTGATGTACAGAAAAAGACGTATGATCTGCAAAGAGAGTTTTCCATCAGAAGAAAAAAAATAATTATTAGTTTGATCCCCAAGAAAAATAATGAAAAAAATAACGAAATAAGACCAAGGGAAAAAAACTCAAGGTTGGGAAAATGATAACAGTAAATTTCTATTCCAATTCCAAAGACATTGAATACCATAGTGGATATGTCCTCTTTAACTTGGGCATCATCCGAAGATGGGATTTGACCACCATTGTCTTCGATTCTCTTGATTAATTGAGTGGAAAATAATATCACCCCAAATCTTACTGGGAGTTGATTTTCATATAAAGATCTGAGCGTGTCAATGGACTGTAAAGATCCAGCAATAGTCAGATAAAAATGCTATGTAATCGCGAATAAGGAAGAAGGGACGGCAATGCCGGGAAAAGGCAGATATAAGACTTGCCTCAAGACCGCAGGCAGTGGCTGGATCAATGACGTAAACTGCATGGAAGAGGTTCTTCCGGATGTAACGTAGTTGCCCAGGGAAGGCAGGCATCAAAATCTTATTACAATGAGAGAAACACAGGCCATTAGAGATTATTTTCCAAATGGCACCTTGCTCAAAAAATATCATATGTATCCTCAATTATCAAGAAGAAGTCAGCTGTACTAGTTACCTCGTTAATATTACTCCGCCAGCGCTTGTACATATCATCCTCCTCCAGATTGTTGAGATAGTTAACATGAACGGAACGATAATCAACCCGATATGAATCCGGCTCAGGGAGAGGGGTAGTTAGTAAGAGTTTCCGTATGGCTCCATCAGGTATCTGACAGATGCAAAAATACGTTATCAGAACTCAGTTTCCTAAATAAAATTAAAATGTTCATCAATTTGTATCACTCCAGTTTTGTCCTCCATGTTCTGTAAACCACAACTTTAATATTTCTTTCTACATTGTACACGCATCAAAAAAGAAGTGTGACGTATGTCCGAGATCTCCAGCAAAATACGGAAGAAAAAGGCTAAATTATAAAACTTAACAATTATTACAAGATGTTTGATACAGCACTAGCCTAAATGGTTAGGCGCACACAGTCAGTAAACGAGTACCTTAAGCTTCGAAAAATGGTCAGCCAGAGACAACTCCTGATGAGCCAAATCCATCAACCTACAGACAGAAGGATCAGGCGATCATGGGAAACGGACGATAACCAACAATGTAGACATGTTACTTTTAAAAGGAGCAAATGGATTCCAAATGAAAAGCAACACAGCGCAAACTGATATCAAAATGTAAATGAACTGCAAGACGGGAAACTAGGTGGGCTTGGGGAAGAGTACCGAGCGAGGAAAAAATATCAGAATTTCAGCTCCTCAAACCATAAGAACATCATCAAGTCAAGAAAAGGATCATGAATAATCCATTAACGATGCCTAGATCAAGGAAAATATCACAATATGCAAAAAGGCATTACATGTATAAGTCCATATCTTCAATGTTCAACAGAGCACCATTCAGAGCCAACAAAGCCTTGCCAGGGGGAACCATTCTCTGGTTTGAAAGTATCTCTTCTTTGATTGATTCATTGAGCTGCACGATTGAACCAGACATATCTAAAGTCAGAAGAACCGCAAGAAAACAATTCAACCAGCAGTGTCACGTTAACACACCATCAATAAACGATGACATACCTTCATGCGAGATAATGAAGAAACTACACTTGGAAAATTTTGATTAATTTCTTGCATAGATTGCAGAGGATCAGAGGCATGGACTATTCTCTGTGCTGTTTGGTGTCCCAAATCTGTGGAATAAAGGTAAATTAGGAAACGCTTTATTAACTTTCTATTATCACCAAGCCAAACATGCAGGATGCAGAACTACCCTTGAGCTCCCAAACATCAAGCGTGTCTGATACAGTTGATGATAGGAGATAATCCCTAAAAGCCATGACTTCTGATCTTAGCTCGGGTTTCCTGTCCTGCAAAAAAGGAGCGCTGACCCTAATGATCACCCTAAAGAAAATGAAAAATTGCTACAAAGCATTTTTTCCATCGTTCATCTCATATCTTCTACCATCTCACACCCACTAAAAACACACAAATTCATTTGTGCTCATCCATGCATCCGTGCAAATCAAGCGATTTATTTTTTTTCAAAGAAATGGTACAATATATTATTCTGTTATGTTGCAAATTAAACATACCAGGATTTTCGAGAATATAAAGCCCCTAACATCTTGACTAAGATCTTCAGTCCTTGGATCTTCAAGAGTGATACCTGAAACTCATAGCAAAAACAATTAAAAGTAGATAATTCACAGCTAACAGGAAGTAAGTAACCGATAAAAAATAAGCTTTTGCTTTCAGAATTCGGGTGGCGAAATAAATAAACGAGCTAACTCTAACCTTTTTTTATAGCACTATCATCCATTGCCTTATACTCCATGTTCTTCAAAGCAAGCTCGACACCATAACCGGCTAAGCTAACATAATCCCTGGCGCCAATGGCACCACAGGGTCTAGTTTTGCCTTCACAACCCGAAGGTAACACTGGTCTAACAACATACGTAACTTTCCCCTGTAGGAAAACAAGACTCCATCAGAATTCACACAACAAAAGCAGAAATGGAAGCCCTGGACAATAGAGACTGGATTTTTATCAAGACAGTAATAAAAGAGAGACCTCCGTGGCTGCTTTAGCAAGCGAGAGGTGAAATTTCCTAAAGCAACCAGTCCCAACAGCCCCATAGAGAACAACAACTGGGCTTCCAGCTTTTGAATCAAAATGAACGTGATCAAAGTCAAAGAGCTCAGGCCCCTGAACCGCGTCTCCGGCACTGGCACCCAGCGTTACATATATCAAATTGTGGTCTTAACCAAAAGAAAAAGAAGAAAAATATTGAAGAGAGGTCGTCAGTGCATACGCAGGAGGAGAGGCGAGCCAGGAGAGGAGATCTGCAACATCGTAAAAGAGGGAAGAGCCCGTGTCGACCCAACAGCAGTGATCCGCAGAGGAATCATCGCCGTGAGGGAAAGAAGAGAGAGACTCATCAGCCAATTGACGGTAGAGCACAAGCCTGGGGGAGGCAGATCTCAGAGTAAGCGAGAAATGGAATAGAGAAGCCACAGGTTTAGCCAATAAGGTCGATGCCTGTTGAGATATCTTAAGGAGGCAATCTCTGGCGGATTTACAATCGGAATCACCAGTTTCTCCATCGGAACCAAGCCAAGCATCAGTGAACTCCCAGAAAAGCTGCTTCGATTCTTTTGTAATCAACTCTCTGTCACAACAACAACAAAAAGAACACTCGGATTCACTCTCGGAAGCGCAAAAGAGCGGTAGCAATGGTGTTCGACAAGAGTAAGAAAGCATTACCCAGCCTCGAGGAGAAGAGGAGTACCCTGCCACTTAGCCTTAACCGCCACCTGAACATTCTTAGGTCTTCGATTCTGAGCGTTGACGCCGAAGAAGACGAAGACGAGAAGGAGGAAACAGAGCACGGATCTCAGATTGGTCCCCATCTTTTCCGCGACGGAGGAGAGAACAAGACGAGCCGGGAAATATTCCTAGTAAACTAAAAGGGGTAATTACGTAAAAAGGCAAGCAGAAGCCACGACATCAAATATGACGTGGAGGCCTCTCATTGGTTGTAAGTGTTAGGGTTTTTCGTTCGATCGAACAAAGAGATTTGGGGCTTCGGTGACGTCTCCGCCGAGATCATGCGATTAGAAAGGAATGCTCCTCAGGCGGAGGATACTATCGCTCTCGGCGTCGCTCAGAAACTGCAATACCGGAATCGGCGATCCTGCTTTGTCTTCTCCTTCTCATTTCTCTTCCTACGCGAACGCTCCAGTCGCCGCCGGAGATATCCTAATCCGCGAGGTGAAAGACTGGTTTAAGCGCGATGTGCAGCAGAGCCACCAGTTAATCGACCGAATCTCTGATATTCTCCGAGCTCCGCCTAGCGATGGAGATGATCGTTCTTTTTATCACCAACTCTCCGGTCTCCGACTCCGCCTCACGGAGAGATTCGTCCTCGACGTGCTTGACCACACCCGTCACGATATCCTCCCCTGTCTCAAGTTCTTCGATTGGGCCGCTCGCCAACCTAGCTTCCATCACACGCGCGCCACTTTCCATGCCATCTTCAAGATCCTTCGCAGCGCAAAGCATTTCAATCTTATGATCGACTTCTTAGACCGAAACGGCGGTTTCGAGGGTTATCGACACTCTCTCCGACTCGGCGATGCCCTCGTCGTTGGGTATGCCGTCGCTGGTCGCACCGATATCGCTCTTCAGCACTTTGGTCACATGAGATTTCGAGGTTTGGATTTGGATACTTTTGGGTATCATGTCCTCCTGAATGCTCTTGTCGAAGAGAAATGCTTCGATACTGTTGATGTCATCTCCGAACAGATCTCCGCGCGTGGCTTCCTCTGCGCTGTAACGCATTCGATCTTGGTGAAGAAGTTGTGCAAGCAAGGCCAGCTTGATAAAGCTGAAGATTATCTCCGCTCCTTGCTCTTCAATAATCCTGCTGGATGTGGTGCTGGCTTAGGCATTTTGGTCGATGCTCTATGTACCCAAAAGAAGTTTCAGGAAGCTACTAAATTGTTAGACGATATCAAAGCGGTGGGAACAGTTCCTATGGACCGTGCTTATAATATTTGGGTTAGATCTCTTATTAAAGCTGGATTCTTGAACAACATTGCTGGTTTCTTGCAGCAGATTAGTCCTTTAGAAGGTTGTGAAATCGAAGTTTTCAGGTATAACTCTTTGATCTCTAAACTTTTGAAAGAAAACAACCTTGGGAGTGTGTATGATATCCTGACGGAGATGATGGTGCGTGGAGTTTTGCCTAACAAGAAAACGATGAATGCAGCTTTATGCTTCTTTTGCAAAGCCGGATTTGTGGATGAAGCCCTCGAGTTATACCGGTCGAGGTCAGAAATTGGATTTGCTCCTACCGCCGTGTCTTATAGCTATCTGATTCGTACCCTTTGCTCCGACAGTCGCCTCGAACAAGCTTATGATGTCTTTAAGGGGGCAACGGAACGAGGGTATTGTCTTGGTGCAAAGACTTTTTGTATACTTACCAATGCTTTGTGCTGGAAGGGGAAGTCTGACATGGCGAAGGAGCTGGTTATTGTTTCCGCGGAACGGGGCTTATTGCCTAAACCTTTAGGTGGTTGCAAGATTATACCAGCTCTCTGCGATGCTGGGAAAGTGGAGGACGCTCTTTTGATTAATGAGCTATTCAACAAAATTGGTGTAGCCACCACCTTCAGAATGTTCATCAGCTTGATATACGGCGCAATTAGATTAATGAGGGGAGACAAAGCTTCTAGACTTATCATCAGAATGCAGGAAAAGGGCTACACTCCTACCCATACTCTTTACCGAAATGTTATTCGATGTGTTTGTGCGATGGAAAGCGATGATAACAACGATTTTGCTATTTTGCTAAAGTTTCAGTTGTCTCGTTGGGAACACAGAGTTGGGACTTACAACCTATTCATTGAAGGAGCTGGGTTTGCAGGGAAGCCAAAACTTGCAAGATTGGTGTATGATATGATAGAAAGAGCTGGGCTGAGGCCAACACTAGATTCAAACATTCTCATGCTTCAGAGCTATCTCAAAAACGAGAAAATCGCTGACGCTCTTCGTTTTTTCCATGACCTGCGTGAGAAAGGTGAGGTCAAAAGAAGACTTTACCATGTAATGGTTGTTGGCCTGTGTAGAGCAAACAGGTTGGAAGAAGCAATGCATTTCTTGGAAGAGATGAAAGGCGAAGGAAGACAGCCTAGTATCGAATGTTACGAAGTAGTCATACAAAAACTGTGCAACCGAGAAAAGTACGAGGAGGCAGTTGGGTTGGTGAATGAATTCAGGAAAAGCGGGAGGCGTATTACATCTTTCATCGGGAATGTGCTTTTGTATAATGCAATAAAGAGCAAAGGGGTTTATGAAGCATGGACAAGGATGAGAGATGTAGAAGAGAAGATCCCTGAGATGAAGTCTCTTGGTGAGTTGATAGGAGTGTTCTCGGGAAGAATCGAAATGGTAGGAGAACTGAAGCGGTTAGATGAAGTTATAGAGAAATGCTATCCTCTGGATATGTACACTTACAATATGCTGTTAAAGAGAGTTGTAATGAATCAGGCGGAAGATGCATTTGAGTTGGTTGAAAGAATATGTGGAAGAGGGTATAAGCCTAATGAGCGGACTCACATGATCCTTGATAGGGCTCGACGCATACTAGAGGGACTAAATTATCGGTCAAACCCAACAGTTTTGTCATGATCATTTATTTGTTTATCAAGGAAATATTTTTTTTTTCCTTTATGGTGCTCACCTTTGGTTTCGAATACTTTTGTTTGTATAATTTGTTTCAATTTAAAATAATATAATACACTAAGATTGTGTTTATAAAACATATATTCAGAATCTGTTAACGCAAAAATGGAGTTTTTCTCTTTTGTAGTCCGTGTTTACAATTTTCAAAGAAAATTTCATTAAGAAAGCACTAAAATATTATCTTTTTTAAAGATAGTGGAACTGGATAGTCCGGATTACATGTATCCCAGTATATTCATATTTTTTAAAAAAGAAATGAGGGAGCAAGTACACTGTGTACTACAGTTTAACGACATTTGTACTGCATAAAAGTCTCACGTACGTACATACTCAAACACAGAAGGCCAGAACCCAGAACTAGCTGAGACTACATTAGAAAAACTAACTGTGAGTTTGACTATTATATGACAATTTTTATGAGGAAGATGAATCAGGTAAGAGTCTGTGTTCTGTCGCACGATTCTTTTTCTTTCTGCCCTCTCTCGCCGGTCTTGTACTGCAGAGCCGAAAATATTTTACTACCTTATTTTCTCTTTTCCGGCCACCTTGCTGTGACCTGTGATTCCCTGATCGTCTCGTATTTTTTTTTTTATATATATATATTATCTTCAATCATTTTCTCAGTTTTACATTTTTTGTATTATACGACTGCCTCTCGAAATTATTAATTAAAAAAAAAAAATTGCATTGTTATTTATTCTCACACATACTGCTTTTTATGGGTTGACTTGGGCTCATTCCCCCTGTATATATACCATTATATATATACATATATATATCATCCTCATGAATGATTATCTTGTTAACTTAGGGCTTAGAGATAAATTAAGTTGCCTGCAATTCTAAGTTTAAATAAAAGAGATCGATCGAAGCCTCTTTTGTTGTTTGGCGTATTTGTTTCTCTTGCCGTTGGTGTACGTATGTCCAACCATCAGACTTTAGCATCCAGCTTACTCAACCATCTCTTGCATATCCCTGCTGCAGAAACAATCAGAGCCAAGGAGTCCGGAAACAAGGACGAGGAAGACACGTATCAAGCTCAACCAGATATTAGAAGAGGTAAGGAAGCACTCGCTTTGCATGATCATCAAGATCATGGTTCAAGTGGTGCAAAGAAACAAGAACGTAACGCCAATGAGCGTCTCAGGAGGATGAGACTTCATGCCTCTTACCTCACTCTCGGCACTCTTCTCCCTGATCTTCCTTCTTCCTCCAAGGTTGATATATAATCTCGCCCTTTTCTTTTGTAGATATCATCATATTATTGACTATGATGATTTTGTTAGCTTAGTTAAGAAAATAAACTTTTCTGTTGAACTAGTTTCTTATTTTTACTGACTAACAGAAGAAATGGTGTGCACCGTCTATAATGGATAGAGTGGTTACTTACATTCCCAAGCTACGTAATGAAGTTGAAGAGATAACTCTCAGAAAGCAAAACCTTGTAGAAAAGATGGAGACCAAAAGGTCCTCCTGGGAATCAGAGCGACAAGTTCCTCACATTCGAGCAATCTCGGTTCTTGAATTGGTGGGATCAGGTCACGAGGCTGTTGTACAGATATCCATGAAGAAGGAAAAGGAAGATGAGTTCTCGAACTTGCTTCATGTAATTGAGGTGCAAGGTTTTAGTATTTTAAGCGCTTCTACTTCTCAAGTGTGCCAACATCAACGGGTGGTTTGCTACAACTTCCATTGTAAGGTACGTGTTAAACAATTTGGTCCTATCTATATATACTTCATTTCGCTTTGATTTTATGTTTTTTCATAGAATCGAGCCAGTACTGTGCTAGTAAATACTCGTAAATTTTTGGTAAATAATATTTAGACATGAATATGAACGAAAGATGTTACTTACTGGTTCGAAAGAGACTAGTTGGATCTGGATAGATTTGGATTTGAGTGTGCGTATTGTGTATAGAGAGGGATAATTTATATGTAATAATTTGCATGTATTATCAACAGCTGATCCTAGGTCTACCTACCTATGTACCAAAAACACTAAACTCAATTCATAAAATAGTTTTTCGCAAACAACAGTATGGCGATAAGAAGTCTATTAGGACCCTTTTTTTAGAGAACTAACAGTTGAGAAATGTATGGGAAAGTGTAGATGGATGAGAAGCCATGTGAAGGTGATGACTACATCACAGTGTTGAAGAAGAACATCATTGCTTCACTCTCCTGACAACACAAAATGCAAATGAAATTAAGTGATATGAAGAGAATGAGTAAAAGAATAGCTTGGACGACGCATATATCGCAGTTTGCACTTCTTGCTTATATCATGTTTGGTTTGGTGTTTGAAATCTCGTAAATCATATTCAGATGTAGAAAGTTCTTGTTTTACCTCCCTATACCAAAATTCTTTCTTAGTGATATTTAGGACTTAGGACTGATCCTAAGGTATTTGTTTCCTAAAGCGGAACGTGAAAATAAGATACCACGAAAAAAAGGAAAATACACCGCAAGGAATTGGACCGAATTTAAAACGAGAGGAAAGAAGTAATCAGCTGACCATAATTTTAATTTTTATTGGCGCTTAAAACCGATGCATTATGAGCTTTAGCCCAAGTCTAATCTTTGCTAATACTAAAATAACCAATTTGGTGATGTAATTCGTTTTGTATATTTATGAGAATGTTGTATTAAATTTGTGTGACATTTTGGTTGATTTTAAAGAGAGTTGTGACATTTTGGTTGATTTTTAGGGATCACAATCTATTTGTAATTGCTAGTGGCAAATCCTCGGATCAACAAACCAAACAATTGGCAGCAAAAAGGATCTCTATTTAAATTGTGATGTAATCGTATAAATTATGTTCGGACAAAAAGAACGCTAAACTGAACTAATGAAGGATTAGGTTTTACTTTTGTGATCAGAAATGCGTACAGAGGAAGTCGTCGTTGTGTCCTTGCAAACATTTACCATTTTGCCCTTTAGGTTGTAATTTCAGCAATACCAATAGCAATTATCCTAAACGCTGTTTATGACAGCGGCCCCCAAAAAATCACTGAAAAGAAAAGGAGGAAGAGTCAAACCTCTGAATCTCTCTCAGAAGCAGAAGAAGAAGAATAAGAAGAAGAAGAAGAAGAAGAAGGAAGAAGAGAAGACGATGAAGAAGCGAGTGATTACCGCGTGGGGAGCGGCGATTGTAATCTTCCTGGTTCTAATGATCGTCACTCCGACAATCCCTCAATCTCAGGCCTACCACGATTTCGCCGATCAACGCTCCTTCTTCGGTAATCTCACCTTTTTTTCTCTCATAATCCCCCCCCTTTTTGATTTTTAGGGTTTAATCATGTAATCCACGAACGATTCATCTCAGGGATCCCGAATGCTCTGAACGTCGTTTCCAACTTCCCTTTCCTCATCATCGGCCTTGTCGGTCTCGTCCTCTGCTATTACCCAGATGATTACTTCAGACTTAGGCGCGTTCCACTTCTCCAATCTCTTCCTCTCTTCTTACTGAACAGGATCAAAAATTCGAAAAGCTAAAATTAGTTTAAAAATCTGTGTGTATCGAAACAGTTTGCGAGGTGAGAAATTGGGATGGACTTGCTTTTTCGTCGGTGTGGCGGCTGTTGCTTTCGGATCTTCTTACTATCATCTCCACCCAGACGATGCTCGTCTTGTCTGGGATCGTCTTCCTGTACGCTCTTTTCTCTCTTGGCTTCTTTGTTTTGTTGCTTTTTGTCTTTCTTTTTGATCACTGCTTGGTTTTCTTCGATTTAGATGACTATTGCCTTCACATCAATCATGGCTATATTTGTAATCGAGAGGATCGATGAGCACAAGGGTACTTACTCCATTGTTCCTCTGCTTCTCGCTGGCCTTGTTAGCATTTTGTATTGGAGGCAAGTTCAATCCAAAAACTCAGAGAATGGGTTTTAATGTTTACAACGCAAGAAAACAAATCTTGAATATAGTATTAGTAACTTGTCTCATGAGGGAGGCTGTAATTGCAGGTTTTTCGATGATCTTCGTCCTTATGCTCTAGTCCAGTTTGTTCCCTGCATTGTCATTCCACTTATGGCTATTCTATTACCTCCAATGTATACACATTCCACGTATTGGCTCTGGGCTGCAGGTTTGTGCTCAGTGGTTGAGTTGATATCTTCTGCATTCAAAAGCTTCATTACGGCTGGTTTTTTTTTTCTAAATTCAACTTGGTCCCAAAATTGCAGGATTCTATCTCCTAGCAAAAGTGGAAGAAGCTGCAGATAAGCCGATATATAGCTGGACGCATCATATTCTCAGTGGCCACTCTTTAAAGCATTTGTGCGCCGCTATGGTCCCTGTCTTCCTTACCCTCATGCTTGCAAAAAGAACTGTTCAAACCGAGAGGTATACAACATTCTCATATACACGAAATGACCCGACTTGAGTTGACTCATGCTTTACACCATTGTTGCTAAACGCAGGATTAGCCTGTATAAGACATGGAAGATATCATGGAAAGGATCCGAGGAAGAGAGCTTGGAGTGTACCTACTCCAACGTAGCAGTCGAAGAGACTCGGTAGGTTATGTTGGTGACACTCGTATAAAAGATTACTTGCTAATAGATTTAGTTATAGGCTGATAATCCACTTGGAAACTCATGAAGCTTTTGTAATCTTTCATAGTGCGAACACACTTTTGATGTTTATTCCTGTAACCTTTCATATCTCACAAATTCTACACACCAAGTCGAAGACAAGTTTGCTTAATTTAACCAAAAAACACTTAACAAAAAGTGTTAATACTGTTAATCAGGAAATGCCGTTAAGTCTTCTAATAACAGAGACGACGCCTTGAATCCCTAACTTGCCATCTCCATTCGCCACCATTCCAGAGAACAACTGTTTGCTCAGAGCAGCACCAGGCATCGCCGCCACGTCACTTTCCTCCGCCGCCATTCCCAAATCTTTCACAATATACTCCGCAAACCCCGTCGCCTTATAATCCCTCTCCGCCATCATCTCCCCGAACAACCGCATAACCGCCGATCCAGCTGCACCGTCCTTCACCGCCTCGAGCCACTTCACTGGATCTAAACCCGCCTTCTCGGCGAACACCATCCCTTCCGCGAGTCCCACCATGTTGCTTCCTACACAGATCTGATTCCCGATCTTGCAGCTCTGCCCTTTCCCCGCCGCTCCCATATACCTCACAGTTCCCATGTTCTTCATCACCGGAGACAACCACTCCACGATCTCGGAATCTCCGCCGGCGAAAATCGTCAGCTTCCCCTCTCGTGCTCCGGCGTCGCCACCCGATACCGGCGCGTCAATCGCATAGCAATTCCTTCGTCTCGCCTCCGCGTATATCTCACGCGCCAGTGCTGGCTGGCTGCTAGTCATGTCCACGGTTACTCCGCCGGGTTTGAGTCCCGAGAGTACACCATCGGAACCGAGAAGCAGCGATCGGACATCGTTAGCGTTTCCAACCATCGTGAAGACAACGTCGCTCGTCTCCGCTAGCTCTTTGGGGGTATTGGCGGTGCGAGCTCCTTTGGTTTGCAGATCCTTTGACTTACGGAGGTCGCGAGCGTAGACGGTGACCAAATAGCCTGCGTCGAGGATATGAGAGACCATGGCCGATCCCATTATTCCGATTCCGATCCATCCGATTCGAGTCTTCGATGGAATGATGAGTTTCGGGTATGGAGTTTCCATTTGAGAACGAATGAAGATTTTGTGAGAGAATTAAAAATAAAAATAAAAAGTAAGCTCTCTGGACTCATTTATTGAGCTTAATTTTTGTTTTTGTCTTTTCTGGATTAATAATATATATTCGCATAATTTTTATTATTAAATGGTCTTGGCTCCTGATTACAAAATTCAAGCTTCTCCCTTCTCTCATCTTATGCACTGCGTTGAGAAGGAGATTTGTTGAAAGTAGATACAAATCTTCCAATTTTTATAACTTGATCTGACTAAATTTACAAAAACCCAATGTTTTTACTTTTTAGTTAGAGAGAGAACAGTGATCAAGCTTAGCAACAGAGACAAAGTCTTCTCAACAAACACGTAATGTTCATTTCTCCTGAAAGCATGCAAACTCATATGGGTCACGAGACCTGAATTTCATCCTTCTTTTGGACCTCTTCACATGCTTACCCTGTGATACAACAAACTTCGGTTCCCAAAATTCCTTTATGGTAAACACTATAATCCACATTTGTCACAAAAACACAAGTCTCTCTGTTTTCACCATCTTGCTTTCTCTCTTTCCTTGTTTAGATCATGGAATCGAGTTTTCCTTTCATCAATAAAGCTTTCTTTATTATCCAAACCTTTATAAGCTTTCCCTGCTTCCTTGCAGCTACAGCCTGCGTCGTCATAGCCGTCTTTGGTTATTATTTCTTCAAACCAAGATGTATATACCTCATTGACTTCTCATGTTATCAACCTCCTGACTTCTTGCGAGCTCCAGTCTCCAATTTCATTGAGCACCTTACCATATCCGGTGTATTTGACAGAGAAAGCCTTGACCTCCAACAGAAGATTCTAGAGCGGTCAGGGATTGGAGATGACGCGAGCGTGCCTGTCACGGTCCATGAGATTCCACCAAACTCTTCTCTCTCTGCAGGTAGAGAAGAAACGCAAGATATCCTCTTCACTATTGTCGAAGACCTTTTCTCAAAGCACAAGATAGATCCAACGAGTATAGACATCCTTGTGTCTAACTGCAGCCTGTTCTGTCCTTCTCCATCCATAACTTCCATCATCATAAACAGGTTTGGCATGAGGAGCGACATAAAGAGCTTCAGCTTGAGCGGAATGGGCTGCAGCGCGGGGCTTCTTTCGATAAACCTCGTGAAAGATCTTATGAAGATTCATGGTGACTCTGTGGCCCTAGTGTTGAGCATGGAAGCTGTGAGTCCAAATGGTTACAGAGGGAAGTGCAAATCAATGCTCATTGCTAACACTATCTTCAGAATGGGTGGTGCAGCGATTCTTCTCTCCAACAGGAAGCAAGATAAGCATAAGGCGAAGTATAAACTCCAGCATCTTATTAGAACTCATGTAGGATCAGACAATGAATCCTATGAGAGTGTAATGCAGCAGATTGATGATGAAGGACTAGTGGGAGTAGCTTTGTCCAAGCAGCTTGTCAAGGTAGCATCAAAGGCCTTGAAGATCAATGTGGTGCAGTTAGGTCCTAAGGTGCTACCTTATTCAGAGCAGCTCAAATACATAATCTCATTCATCCAGAGAAAATGGGGAATGCAAAAGGAAGTATACACACCTAACTTCAAGAAAGCTTTTGAGCATTTCTGTATACATGCTGGAGGAAGAGCGATAATTGAGGGCGTGGAGAAGCATCTGAAGCTAGACAAAGAAGATGGAGAAGCTTCAAGGACAACACTGTATCGGTATGGGAACACATCTTCGTCGTCACTGTGGTATGAGCTGCAGTACTTGGAGGCCAAAGCTAGAATGAGAAGGGGAGATAGAGTATGGCAGATTGGGTTTGGAAGTGGCTTTAAGGCTAACAGTGCTGTCTGGAAATGCGTTTCCGAGATCAATTCAAAAGACAGGAATGCATGGTCTGACCGAATCCATTTGTATCCGGTCTGTGGAGATGCTTCTAGTGCGTTGAGGACAAAGCTCCTTTCTTGACATCGATTTCGTTGCTCTTGAGCTGATTCATGCATTGTAGGAAATCTTTCCACATTCTCAGTTTCTTCAATAGCTGTTTGTTTTGGATCTCTACTCTTAGAAATTTATTGTTAACGCAGTTTGAAGTAGGATTTAGCATTTGCCCTTCACAAGATTTAGTATATGCAACCATATTTCACTAACTATAACTGCCATTAAAATACAAAAGAAATAAAAATAACAAGTCAGGCATTGCCTGAAACACTGAAAGCTAACAAGAAAGAACCTAACAAAACCTAGAGAGTAACATTCTGCATTTTGGAAACTACTTCAGCTTCACTTCTTGAGTCCAGCTCGGTTTCCATAAGTTCAATCAAACTCTGCAGCCTTCTGCATGTTCTCAAGAAAGATTCTGATGAAGAAGAAGAATTCTTGAAACCCATAACATCAGCCTCAATCTCACCAATATTTCCTTTTATTCTCTCCACCGTTTGTTTCATGAGACTCAACTCCTGCGGGGGATAAACGCATGCTCCAAGCTCATCAATCTCTACTCCGATTCTTTGACACAACTTCAGTAACTTCTCAAGCGAGTCCACAAACCCACCGTTATCCTTTGGATTCTCCACCTTGATCATGCCTGTAATAACGCGGATGAGTTCTTTTATAACCATGAGCGTCTCAGACACGATATCAGCTACCATTTTAGCAACTTCTAGCTCTTCAGGAGACAAGTCATCCCCTAAATCATCGTCATCTTCGTCTGAGTTTGGAGTCCCGCTTTCATCGTTTGCACAAGCATCATGCTCAGGTGAAGAAGAAGAAGAAGCTGGCTTCAATTCTTTCATTTCCCTAAGAACATCCTTCACGGAAACACCGACCTGTGTCATCGCCCGACCAATGGCTTTGATGTTTGTTGCAGGAACTTTGTTTAAATTAGAGCATGCCTCCCACACTGCTCCTGTAAGCTGCGGAATCGACGACGGCTTCCTGTCTTTCTCATATGATCCCACTAGTTCCCAATATATTCACCAGATCAAATCATTCACAGTTGAGTAACTTTTAAATCAATGAACCAGAAGAACAGAGAGCCTTCTTACCGTATAAGGAGACAGAACCTTTCAATAATTTGAAGCTGAAATCAACAATTTGCTTCACAGAGGCTTGTATGGATGAAGAAAGTGTAGGCCTTGCACCAACCATGCTTCCATTGTCTCATTCAATGCTTCAGCTTTTGGTGGTTCTCCAGTCCATAGCATTCCCACTAATGAAGATAACCCAAAGAACAAACAATTGAAGAAATTTTTTAAAAAGCACCAAACTGATTTGAGAAACCATTCAAGAGAGGAGAAAAAGAACAAAACAAATAAAAAAACCTATGGTGGCTTGTTTAGAGAGGTGATCAGATAGCTGAAGGACATCGTTCCAGCTTAATTTGTCTTGTGTCGGAGGCGGCGATTCCTGGAACAACTGCAAAAGTTACCAAATCGGTCTCTAAATCATGTAAAGAGGGTTACAATTTCATCACGAAAAAAAAAAAAAAGAGAACCTGGAGCGTATCGTTAATGGTGTTGAGATAACCAAGAAGGATTTGATTCAGTTCGTCTCTCTTTGGTTTCGCCATCTCTCTCCGTCTTCCTTCACCTCTCGACGACTAAATTCTAACTCCTAATTCCTTTTTCTCTTCTTTTTGAGCTCTCCACACTTTCGTAATTCTTCTACTCTTCCCCAGCTTAATTTGTCTCCGACACGACGCCGTTTATGTCAAGGTACCTTGTTATTCCAAAAAAGCCCGTTTTATATTTGCCTTCGGTCTAAAATCCAACTCGTTTTACTGGGTTTTTGGACTTTTGGTTAAACCTTCTGATTTTAGGATTTTGATTTAATTTGGTTTAATTTTGGTTTTTCGGGTTAGGATTTTACTTTTACCCTTTCACATTACAATTTGGTATATGTTAGCTTGAATGTGTAAGGAAAGTACAAAGGAAAAAGAAAAACATCATGTCAATGTCAATGTCATGTTTAAGGAAAGAAGATAGTAGAGGCCAGGCAAAACTCATGTGCACATTCAATTCCTCATTACACTAAACCTTAACAACAACACCAAAAATCGACCTAATAAAAACACACAACAATAAATGAGGAACTGATTCAAAGTCTTTTTGTTTTTTAGCTGATGATCATCTCTTCATGTTCTTCTTTATCTTTCTCTTCAAACTCCTCACCCATCACTCTTTCTCTCGCCTTTCTCGCCTGCATCCCCACCAATATGATTCATCATAATAGATATTAAATAGACATCACTTTCACTTACTTTCTCACATTGACTAATCAAAATATCAAAATCAAACATCACTTTCACTAAATTTACTAACCTGTTGTTTCCAGTTGGTGAGACCGACGATAAGACCGAGCAAACCAGCTTGTACAAATGACCCAACTGTTATCCCTATCCATAATCCTCTTCCTCCCATTTTAAACCTAAAACCTAATATAACAGCAGTTGGTATTCCAAAGAGATAGTATGCAGCTAGGTTTACATATGCACCAATATCTTGCCTCCCTGATCCTCTAGCCACACCTGTTTCAATCCCCCACACACAATCAAACAAATTTATTTAAATTACTCTCTTAATGACTATAGTATAACACTATACAAGGATTTGAGCCTAACCCGAAAGAACTGCGTGTAGGGCATCGAATATGACTGATAAAGCAACCAGCGGAGCCATTGATCTTACGTAATCCACAACTTCAATTTCAGAGCTGAATAGGTAACCAAATACGTTTCTTGCAGCAAAGACAATTGCACTCACCACTATTGATTCTACACCTGTCATAATCATTACTGTGTAAACCGCCATTCGAGCTTTTTTTGGCTTTCCAGCTCCTAGTTCATTTGCAACTCTCGTACTTGCTGCTGCGCCTAGACTCTCTGGTATTTGGTACAAGGAGGAGATTGTTGATAGACTGTTAAAGAAAGAAGAAAGCAACTTGAGTTAATATGACAATGATTCCATTTCGAAAACGCAAGCCTTTAGAAGATAACGAACATACCACACTGAGAGAACAGAGGTTTCTAGCTTCGGATTCGGTAAAATCCCAGAGAGCATAACCAGAAACTCGAATGACCACCACTCAAGGCTAATTCAACACCATAAAACAAAAAGAGTCTCAAGTCAATTCAAATGTAAATCACTACTCTTTTGACCAAAACCAAAAGAGGCAAAAGAGGAGTTTACATACCAAATCATAGATGCAGATGGGATTCCAAACCGGAAAAACTCTCTCATTCCACTAAACACACTCATGGAGATAGGCGCACGGCTCTTGCTACAGCTGGAAGAAAACGTCATGTACAATCCAAGAACCGTCACGTTTAGCCAGTAAGAAACGCTGATCGCAATAGCTGCACCAAGGCTCCCAAGCCCAAACTTAAAGACCAAGCTCCAGCAGAGAACCACATGGCAACATAGAGCAGAGATTGAGCTCATAATCAAAGGCAAGATCAGACTCTGCGCTTGGAAAAACCGAACAAGCGGCTGCAGTGTAGCGTAAGCAAAGAGCGCTGGTATAAGCCAAGTCGCAAACTTTCCTGCTTCTTGAGAAACAAGAGGATCTTGTCCAATAAGAGAGAGTATCTCACCCATGTAACTCCACAGAACAGACAAAGGGATACAAACAATGAACAAAGAGAAGATCCCCGTGTAAGTATGTTCTCCAAGCTTCTCGAATTGCTTAGCTCCATTAGCTTGACCACATAAAGTCTCCAACGCACTTGCCAATCCAAACTGTGAACATGAATGATCATCCACACAATCATCAAAATTAGACTTAAAGACGAGAGATTCAATAAAGAGATCAAGAGAGACATACGACGAGGCTGAAACCGGTGACGCTGCAGAAAGAAACGGCAATGGCGGTGCTTGAGAGGAAAAGCTCACCGAGATGACCAACCATCATTATCGATATCACCTGAAGAAAATACATTGAAGAATTCACCGCAACCATCGGACCGGCGATGTAACCTAGCCGCCTCATCTCCCGGAAAAAATCATCTTTTCTATTAACTTCTTCTTCTCCGAGCAAACCCTTCTCCGCCGAATCCATTCTTCCTTCTTCTTCGCTGTTTTCCCGGAGATATCGAGATTCGTCTTGGGGATTTTGGCCTCTTGATTCAATCCCCTGAATTTATACTAATAATTTTTAAATAATATATTGTTTTTGTTATTTTGTGTGGAATTTTAGCGGAGTGTCGTATTGTGATTCTACACCTCCAGATACAGCGTCTCGTTTCGCCGCCATAAATGTTTAACTTGGATCTAATTTGCTTGATTGGGCCATTATGATGGCAAATTAAGAAAGCGCAATCTGAGAGAAACAATTGGTCAAAGTTTCTATCGAAATTACCATAAGTATACAAAGTCAACTTGTTAAAACGGTGGGAATAAAATCTGATGTTGTTATAAATAAATGGACTTCTAATAACCGGCCCATTAACCATCAGGGTAATGTCTCATGGCCTATTAGAGTTTCTGATACATTAGTTATGTAATGTATATATACACTGCTTATGGAAATAATAAGATGAGAGTTTTTCCCTTAATACGTTATCAGTACGAAGCTCAACTTCAAACGATCATATCTCTCAAAATACAAGGAGTTAGAAGGCGATCTACATATCATTTTGAAGCCCTGGAAGAGAAGAATCTAGTGGTGAAAACCGCTCCTCAATCCGACACCAGACGCGCCCTCAAGACTCAAAACAATCGGCGCTATCCCACCTTAGCGGGTGATTCTTTCCAAGCGGTGGTTCCTCCATTGTAGCAGCTGTTCGTCCTCCCTTCTGGCCATCATTCTCAGGAGTTTCCAGTAGATATCTGTGGTCTTTAGCTCCCAGATCATAAGCCGGTCAGAAATCCATTTGGCGAAAAGGTATTATCTAAAACTATAGATCCTAATCAAAGTTTTGGTTTTTTTTTTAAAACCTTAATATGGATCGGTTCTTTTCATGATTCTTCATCGTCTTTTTCGTTTTTAAAACCATAACCAAACCGATCCTCTTTCTTCTTGTCAAAACCCTAATTGGTTTTATTTTTCCTAATCGGCTTTATCATATAAAACCTAAACCCTAATGCTTTGTTTAAACCTTATATCGATCGGTCCTAGCATCATCTAAACCAAACACTAAAATTCCTTGCAACCGAAACCTAAATCTTTGCAAAACCCTAGATCTAAAATCGTTTTGGTTTGTCTATCGTTAAACCGAGATCGATCGGTTTAAATCCTAAACCGATCGGTTATTTATCTTAGATCCGATCCTTGAAAACCCTAAAACCGGTCCATGCAAGCTCCTAAATCCTAAACCAATCGACCCCTTAAACTCTAAACCAATCGATCCACCTAAACCGTTTATAAACCGATAAATTCTAATCCTAAATCAATAGGGTTTAAGTTTAAACCGATCGGTTTTTCCTAATAAAAATTAAACCCTAGCAAATCCGTTTAGTTTAATCCCTTAACCGATTAATAACCCTAATAACCGGTTTCCAAAATTAAATCTAATTTAACCGGTTTTTTTGTTTAATCGATCAATCCGATCGGTTTAAGCTTAATCGGTTAATTTCAAATTAGTTTCCAAAATCAATCTAAAAAAAAAAAAAAATTAATTTCAAATTAGTTTATCTATTAGAGCTAAATTTGAAAACACTAGTAAACCGGCTAGGTTATAAACCCTAAGGTTCGATTTTAGAGTTCCCTTATATAGCAAGTTTCCTAAAATAGCAAGTTTCCTGAAATGGAAAGTTTTCCCAAGAATACCTTAAATCCCTTATTCCAATGATCATAGTCTCATACTATTGATTATTTAACATAAATTATTATATGTTTCAGATGTCAAACATTCAGAAGGTCGAATATGAGGCACTCACTGTCTCCGGAGATAACTACCTCAAATGGGCCCTTGACACCAAGATCTACCTCAACTCAAAAAGTCTGGGTGAATGCATCAAAGATCCCAACACCGCGACTCAAACAGAACGGTACTCGGCGATATTTATTATCCGCCATCACCTCGTTGAGTCTCTCAAGCAACAATACCTCACTCTTGAGGATCCACTCGAACTTTGGGTGGCACTGAAAAAGCGATATGACCATCAGAAAACGGTCATACTGCCCCAAGCCAAGTTCGACTGGAAGAACCTACGGTTCGAAGATTTCAAATCCGTCGAAGAATTCAATTCCGAACTCTTTCGGATAGTTGCACTCATAAAACTATGTGGCGAGGAGGTCACTGATAAGGATATGCTAGAGAAAACATTCTCTACTTTTGGCACTCCCAATGTTGTTCTCCAACAACAATACCGTGCCATGAATCATAGCACCTATGAGGATTTGATATCTTGCTTACTGCTTGCTGAGAAAAACAATCAGCTTCTGTTGAGGAACAGTGACATGCGGCCTCCAGGATCAGCCCCATTGCCAGAAGGAACCAGAAAAGAGTCCAACTTCGTCCAACGTAACAGATCCTCAGATCGTGGACGTGGACGTGGAAATGGACATGGACTGCGCGCGGCAGAGGACGCGGTAGACCGAACCAAGATAACCGACCTAACCTCAGTTTTGGTCGGGGTAAGTGTCGTGGTATCAACAAACCGACCCAAATAGGCAGTTCATCTAGACCAACTCCTTGCTCA